GTGCTGAGTCCTGTTGGAATGTCCAAGGTCTGCGGCAAAAATGTTTGCATGCCCAAGGTTTTAATACACCCTCCATTTCCCTGACAATATTCCGCATTTATTCTGATGCCACGGTCAATTAATACGAGCGGAGAGCGACCATCGGCTGTTATGACACAAATGATTAATTCTCATTTAAAGGTTGGAGTGCTCTAACGATAGCCACATGTGGTTTTCCAGTCAAATATAAATACACTATCACGCTTGAATGTCATCACGAATAACTTATTTTCTGGAAAATTCTCACCAAAATGCTTTTGTAAGTTTACAATCAAAGTTTATAATGACCTGTTTCTGGAATAATTTTAACAGCTGTGGGACGAGTAGCTTAGAAATGACAGCAGTCTGAAGTTGGTTGCAGCTTTTTCATCTCACCCTAGGTGCTAGTGTTGCATTGCGAAATTACAATTCTAGTCACATTTTCCAAATGTAAAGTCAACAAACATATTTTGATTGGCATATTTTTATATGATTTTTTTAGGGTTGTATCTAACATCACTTTTTTACCTCCACCATACTATGGAGGGCATATTAACTTTGTCATTCCGTTTGTAGATTCTCGAAATACTCATGTCAGACCCAACAAAGTATATATACTCTTGATCAGCGTAAAATTCTAAGTCGATTTAGCGATGTCCGTCTGTTTGTTGTAATCACGCTATCTTTCGAATGAATTGAGATAGATGGCTAAAACTTTGCACACATGTTTATTTTTTCAGTAGGCAGGTAAAGATCGTGATTGGGTCATGTAGGTCCACGTTTTCATATAGCCCCCATATAACGATACATCCCGATATTTGGAATTTTGATGATTCAAGCGACATTATTCACCGGAAATGTTTCAAATTTGGTATTTGAAGTTCCAAATGGATGCTTCACCCTAAGACAGAAAATTGTCTGTGCAGGTCCACGTCTTTGTATAGCCCCCATATAACGGTACCTCCCGATATTCGGCATTTTTATGATTTTAGCGACATTTTTCACCGGAATTGTTTCAAATTTGGTATTTGAAGTTCGAAATGGATACTACACCTTAAGACAGAAATTTTTTTGTGCAAGTCCACGTCTTCGTATAGCCCCCATTTAACGCTATTTCCCGGTATTCGGCATTTTGATGATTTTAGCGTCATTATTCACCAGAATTGTTTGAAATTACGTATTTAGAGTTCGTTATGGGAACTACAGTCTGTGACAGAAAATTGCCTATGCAGGTCCAGTTCTTCGTATAGGCCCCATATAACGGTACCTCCCAATATTCTGTATTTTGATCATTTTAACGACATTTTTCACCAGAATTGTTTCAACTTTGGCATTTGATGTTCGCAATGGATGCTACAGTCTATGACAGGGGATTATCTGTGCAGGTCCCCGTCTTCGTATAGCCCCCATTTAACGCTATCTCCTGGTATTCGGTATTTTGATGGGTTTAGCGTCATTATTCACCAGAATTGTTTCACATTACGTATTTAGAGTTCGTTATGGGAACTACAGTCTATGGCAGAAAATTGTCTATGCAGGTGCAGGTCTTCGTATAGGCTCCATATATCAGTGCCTCCCTATATTCGGTATTTTGACGATTTTGAAGTTCATAATGGATGCTATAGTCTGTGACTGAAAATTGTCTATGCAGGTCCTGGTCTTCGTATAGGCCCCATATATCAGTACCTCCCTATATTCGGTATTTTGACGATTTTAGCTGCAATACCCACCGAAATTGATTGAGATGTGGTATTTGAAGTTCGTAATAGATGCTATAGCCTGTGATAGAAAATTGTCTGTGTAGGTCCAGGTCTTCCCAAAGCTCCGATATAACGGTACCTCCCTATATACGATATTTTGATGATTTTTGCCGTTTATTTCAGGTTTCGAATTTGAGTACGGTAATGGCTTATGACAATCAATGCCTATATAGGCCCACGTCGAATAGACCCAAAAAAACGTCTATATTTGGTATTTTTAAAATTTTAATAGAATGTTTTAAGGATTTTATTTTTTGAAAATTTCCAAATTCGTTCCAAATGCTGGAGGGTATTCAAAGATCGGCCCGGCCGAACTTACTGCTTTTTAACTTGTTTTATTTACATATATTTTATAATTATCTAAAATTTGCCAAGTTCCAAAACGTAAGTTGTTGGAAAATTAACTTACATCAAACAAATTTTCACGTTTTTTCCTAAGAATTATGCATTTTTCCATTCGAAAAGCCAATTCGAAACAATTCCACACAAACTTTAATCTGAAAAAACTTTATTCGATTTTTGTAATTTGGCGACTATTATGAAGGCTTTTCTCCAAATTTTCTTTTATAACAACTTTATCACTGTTTGGATCAAATCCTTTTCTGGACATTTGGAGTCGATCTAGGCGTATTAGTCGGTCTCTCTGTCGGTCTGACTGTCTTGTGTGCACGATAACTCTCTAAGGCAGTGCCTGACTTCGTCCAAACTTGGTGCATTGTAATAATTTTGCCAAACTTGGATCGAGTTCGGAGATGGGCCATGCCGGTCCACTTTTTCTGGTACCTCCGCCACAAAAGGCCAACTTTTTCAAGGAAAATAATTTACCTCATAGAAAGAGAAAGAATCATTCGATTTTGCGATAACGTTGCAAATCCCAATATTTTTATCATTTAGCTCTCGCTAAAATAGATTGTTTCTTTTTTCATATTTAATATACACTCCATATCACGATGTTAGTAAAAATCCGATATGGCTTTTTATATTCTGTTCCAGAACTGCAGGAATGTACAAATTTTTACTAAGATATCCAATTTCCATTTATGATATCGGAAAAATGCAAAACTATTAGATTCTTGCAGATGCTGCAACAGAGCAATATACTTAGAATTTTTTTAAATAAAAAAAAAACCGTCGAAAAATTCTAAAACATATTTATCTGCTAGGGCTTACAAAGCCCATACTTTCCAATAAATTCACCTTATATTTTCTTTTTTCAACATTTTTGTATTGTTATCTATTCTTGTTATTATTTTTTTAGTCTGTTATGTAAAAAAGTGCTGAATTAGCTACTAAAACTTAACTGAAAGCCATACCTGAAAGTGAACCAATAAGGGCCATTTTCAATAACACACACATTCTGGACATAATGAACATGTTTATTCCGAATCTCCAAGATCTACATCAATAAATCGAAGCAGAATTTGTTTCTGGTCAAGAATTTACCAGGATTTTAGACGATTATCCTTAGATGTTATAAAAGTTGAGACAAAACTGACTTACTTTCCATTTCCTATTTGCGAATCCCTCTCAAATACTCCTATAAAGTATGTACTTTGTTTTAATTTAGATATCATAAAACATCTTCCAATTTCAATTCTCCAGCAAAAAGATAAACAACTGCGATAAGCAAATACAAATTCGTAAAACCATTGGACGTCTACTGTCCAAAGGTTCCGAAAGAACATCTTCTTGAAATGAAAAGACTATGGAAAGAAATGAAAATTTTGCAAAAAATATATAAATTAAATTTTGATAAGGAAGATTTAGATTTGCATTTGTTGGATGCCAGTTACTAAGGAGGAGTGGTTGATTGCTTGGCTGCCTGTTGCTGTTCTTGTTGCATTGGGTACGTACATACATACGTTCATATACATAAATATGTACAATTTTGAACAATAAAACCAACATCACAGTCTGCACACGTACATATTTTATGGACTGCCTGGGCCGACTGTGGGTTTAGTCATTCAAATGGAAACAAAGTCCTGGTAAAAAGTCGAACAAAGTTTGCCTGCTCTCACAGGAAGTATGAGCTGCGCATGTCCCAAAATGTCTCCAGCAATTGGCTGATTGTTGGAAGTTAATGGTTGGTTTATTGGAATACAAAATTCAAGAGTCTGAGAATTCTCTTAAATTTCAATTCGCATTTGGCGAGAGTTGTCCCACACATTGTTGCTATTCCACCGGTTATGATGTTCGTCTGGGCGTCAGAATGAAAATGGAAAAAATGATGAGCAAAAAAGCTTTTTGGGACACACAAGTCTGATGTTGAGAGCGAGTCGAGCTAAGAACTCTTTGTTCGAGAATTTTTCCTTTGTCTTTACCAAATGCAATTTTCAAGGATGTGCTTTTGCCGTTAATGGTAAGCAGTTAAGTAAAAGGAATACGTGCCATTCGTGCGAATACTACTCTTTGTTTCACCTAGACAAACTCGGTTTTGGATGTCATCATCGGGCTAATCTTGCACCCTGCTACGGTGTGGAGTGTGGAGGATATGTGAGTGTCACATGCATAATTTATTAATTATAATGACTTAGTAACATTATACAACAAGTTCTCCGCCATAGAGGTGATGATATGTGAGGAGAGGAAAACACCGAGACTAGTACAATCAAGCATGTATATATAGTTTGGAAATCCAATTAAGTTTTTTTTTTGTTATGTTACAATGATCCGAAGAAAATACGGAAATATTATAAAATTATAGTTGGGTAATACTTTTTAACGAAATCCTATCATGTGGGAATTAATTAAGATGGCGGGAATTTTAGAGAATAGAGTAGGCGAATAGAAATTCCTATGGTATCTATTTTAGTGGCTGCTTTACTGGGAATTTGTATTCATATCAATTATACCAATGTAATCGTATTTGAATATGAAAATGCGTAATGAAGTCTATTTTATCCATCATAGGAGACCCTTTCAGCAGGAAACGCTTAAATTATAGCTAAATAAACTAAACAGAAAACGATCGATGTCGGCTTATCGATACCCTTCAGCACCTTTACGAAAAAGGATGAGCTTATGAATGTAAACCGATTTAAACTATAATTCACACTTTGAATACCCTTCACCATATGGAACGAATTACGAAGTTTTCAAAAAACAAAAAAAAAAAAAAAAAACATTAAAAATTCTGTTAAAATCTGAAATATACCGATTGTCGGAAGTTGCCGATATATGGGGGATATACTATATGGGGGGATATACTTTTCTTAACACTATTGTTCTTCATTTGGTTCCCCGCCTCTACATTTTTCACCTATTTTGATGTCTTCTAATGAAAATCTTGGTCCATTGGTAAGTGGCAATTCTTATTTAAAAAATGTATTGTCTCCATTTAAAAGTAACTTAAATGTTGCTCACATAAACTGCAGAAGCATTCGGCCTGTTACCAAGCTGGATGAATTGAAGAATCTTTTGGGAAATAATAATACTTTTGATATTCTAGCAGTTACTGAAACATGGCTTGTTCCTGATATATTAAATTCAGCAGTTTCTATTCCGGGGTACTATTTCTGTCGTGGTGATCGTGAAATACCAGGTAGGGGTGGTGGTGTCGGAATTTACTTATCCAAGGGTCTCCCTTTTAGACATGTTTTTAAATCTTCAGTTCACCATTGTGAATCATTGTTTTTAGAATTACAATTCCAGAGCACTAAAGTTCTTTTTGGTGTAATTTATTTGCCCACTGGTGATATTGATTTATTTGAAAGTCTACACTGTAACATTTTTGAGGAATATAATAATATTGTACTTTTTGGTGACTTCAACTTCAATTTGTTTAACCCAACTAAGGCAATAATTTTTCGTAGACTTTGTACTCGATTAAATTTGAGTATTATTCATAACTCCAAGCCTACACACTTCGACCTAGGTAGCCGGTCTACGTCCTTGATAGATTTTATGCTAACCAGTGATTTTTCTATTGTAGCTTATTCTGATCAGATTCAATGTCCTGCTATATCAGACCACGCGTTAATTTTTGCATCACTTTCGATAAGTTTTAGCAGCTTGCCTGATTTTGTTGAATACAGGAACTTTAACAATATTGATTGGAATGGCATATGGAACTTTCTTGCTTCATACGATCCAAATTTGGTTTTTAGTAGTGTTGGTGTGGATGCCAAATGTGCCAGCATAACTTCTCTTTTGGATTCCCTATACTCGTTTGTTCCGGTGGTTAGGAAAAAGATCAAACACTCAGTTGATCCCTGGATGAAGTCTATTGATGTAAGATTTGCTGTGTCTTTAAGGGATTTGGCCTTCTCGTCTTTTCAGAATGAACGAACACAAGAACACTGGCGAATCTACTGCAAATATCGAAATCGTGCGAAAGCTATAATACGCAGATGTAGAAGATATCACTATTCCAGGCTTTTTAATGGAATAAATTCTCGTGGTCTATGGAAAGCGTTAAGAGGATCTGGATGTGTGGGTAATGATCATGAAAATATTGATATCGATGTTAATAGCTTAAATGATTTCTTCTCTAGTTCTTCTTCGAATACTCCTGTTATGCCCCTAAATTTGGAAAGTTTTACGGACTCAGACTCATCTTTCACTTTTCGTTGTGTGGATGAATCTGAATTTATAGAAGCTTTATGCAGCGTAAAGTCTAAATCAATAGGTGTTGATGGGATTCCTATTGCATTTATAAAGAAGGTTTTTCCTTACATTTCCAACCTGATTTTGGACTTAGTTAATTGCATATTAACTACATCTACATTCCCCCATCATTGGAAAGCTGCTAGAGTGGTACCGATTCCTAAATGTCGTTCGGTCAGAGAACCATGTGATCTAAGGCCTATATCAACTTTACCAGCTCTATCAAAGGTTGTGGAGTCCATTATTAAGAAACAAATGCTTGAGTATTGTTCTCAAAGAATTACTGAATCTCAGTATGCTTTCCGTAAAAGATACAATACCACACATTTGCTTCTTAAATTGACTGATTCTATTCGTGAACACATTAACAATGACAAGTTATGTGTTCTAGTTGCATTAGATTTGTCTAAAGCATTCAATTCTCTTGATCATTGCCTTCTTATATGGAAGCTTAAATATAATTTTGGTTTTTCCAAATCAGCATGTATGCTTATTCTTTCTTACTTACAAGATAGAACCCAATTTGTTATGTTAAATGGTGTCATGTCAAATACTTGCCCTTTATTTTCCGGTGTACCCCAAGGATCTGTCCTTGGCCCACTGCTTTTCATTTTATATGTCAATGATCTCCCGCTACATGTAAACTCATCAGCTTGTGAAACGTATTTGTTTGCTGATGATATTTTTATCCTCTTCAATGGTTGTCGTGAATTTCCAATGTTACTTGAGAATGACATTAATGTTTATCTGAGACGCTTTGTTGATTGGGCAGCGAGAAATTCATTAAATATTAACTCATCTAAAACCAAGGCTTTGGATTTTAGATTTAGTAACAGATCTGTACACCTACTAAATATATTTATTGGTCAAGACAAAGTTGATTTTGTTCACCAGCATAAGTGCCTTGGAGTTACAATTGATTGTGAACTTTCCTTCAAACATCATATTGATACTTTAATGGGTAGAGTATATAGCGTTTTACGTCAGATTTATTCGTCAAACATGTACTTAACACAAAATGTAAAACATACTTTAGCAAGTTCTCTATTGATGACACAAGTCTTGTACGGTATTGAGGTATTTTCTGGAACTGTTGCTTCAAATATAAATAGGCTAAAGCGTATTGTTAACATAATTACACGTTTTGTATATAATCTACGACGTGGCAGTCATGTATCTAGTCATGTTATACGTTTTCTGGGGTGTTCCTTTGACATGTTTATTAAATACCGCTGCTTATTACTTTTTTATAACGTTATTAAAAATAATGTCCCTTACTCATTTAGAACGTCCTTTACCTTTACTCATTCATCCAGAAACCCACAGATTTTTATACCTAGAATCTTTAAAAATGTTTTTGCTAGATCGTTTTTGGTCAGAGTTGCGAGATGTTGGAATACACTTCCACTCGAATTACGCATATTTTCCCAGAGTAACAATGCTTTTCGCCTCAAGATTTTGCAATTATTTCTAAACACGTCTTAGTTGTGTCTAAATCTAGTTTATGGTAAATGTATTATATAATACACAACTTAAGAATTAAGATGCCGCTTACTGATTATTTTATGTAGTAAAATAGTTTAATTTGTTTTAATGGCTGGGGAGCCAACTTTTCTTTTCTTTTTTGAATATTAGAGTAAAAGTAGAAATAGTTTTAAATAAATTAAGAATCTTTATATTGTAAATAAATTAAGCTCAGGTTATATTATTAATGCAAGTTGATACACATTATTGGCCTTGGAGGCTTTGTATCACTAATGAATTGAAATAAATAAATAAATAAATAAATAAATAAATAAATAAATATACGATATTGTGGACCTATATAGACAATTCTCTTTTAGGGGGTAAAGTACTTACAAGGAACTACTTGCGTGGAATTTCTGAAAATTCCATTTAAATATGTGGCTAAAATCATCAAAATTCCGAATATGGGGGGTACCGTTATATGGGGGATATACGATAACGTGGACCTATATAAACAATTCTCTTTCAGGGGGTAAAGTACTTACAAGGAACTCCTTGTGTGGAATTTCGGACAATTCCATTTCAATATGTAACTAAAATCATCAAAATACTGAATATCGGGGGCTACCGTTATATAGGGGCTATACGATATCGTGTATAGACAATTCTCTTTCAGGGAGTAAAGAACTCACAAAGAACACCTTGTGTAGAATTCCAGAGAATTTCATTGAAAAATGTGTCTAAAATCATCAAAATACCGAATATCGGGTGGGGGCGTTATATGGCTACACGATACAATGGACCTATATAATTTATTCTCTTCCACTCCAAATCACCAAAAATACCGAAAATCAGAGGTACCGTTACATGGGAGCTATTCGATATAGTGGACCGAAAAAGCTCATCTTCGAAATTGACCTGCCTTCAGACAAAATACAGATCTGTGCAAAATTTTAGCTCCCTATCATAATTCGTTTTGACTGGAGCGTGATTACAACAGACGGACGGACAGACAGGGTTAAATCGAAGAAATTTAAGCTGATCAAGAATGTATATACTTTGTGGGGTCTAAAATTATTATTTCGATGAGTTACAAACGGAATGACGAACTTAATATACCCTCCATACTATGTATGGTGGAGGGTATAAAAATTGCAACCAACTGCTGTTAAACGTATTCCAGTGACAGCTCATTATATTATTTACAAGCGTGCAAAAGCATTTTGGTGAGAATTTTCCACAATCACCTTCGATTGGGCACCAGAACTCAAGCGCCGGCCATGGTGTAAGTGAGGGCTGCCATAACAGCCGATGGTCGCTCTCCACTCGTATTAATCGACCGTGGCATCAGAATAAATGCCGAATATTTTCGCGAAATTATTCTGGAGTGTGTATTGAAGCCTTGGACACGCAAACAATTTGGTTCCAGACCTTGGACATTCCAACAGGAATCAGCGCCATCGCTGTCAATAATAGTTACAAAATGAGGTTCCCCGTTCCTTAATTTCCAGCGCACCATAATTTCCGGATACCAATCCGTTGGACTATTGTGTCTGGAGTATTTTGGTAGTATTTAAAACAAAGTTGGCACTAAAAATACCAAAGTGTCGATCACCTCAAGCAAGCACTACGCCGGGAATGGCCAAAATACCGCAGAGAAACATTTGGGCAGCGTATGACGGTTTCATTGGCCGTTTGAAGGCCATAATTCGTGCCAAAGGTGACCAATTCAAAGAAATCTAAACTTATTCTGAAATTTGATTCTATTTCCGACATTTTTTGCTTTCATTCAATAAAATTAAAAAAAAAAAAATTAAAATTGTTGGTGTTTGCAATTTTTTTCAAATTCATACTTTTTGGAAATTTGTACGAATAGTACTAGAATATACTGAAAATGTAATAATTTGTATTAGTCCAACGAAATGAGCTCGAATTTTGAAATTTGGAATTAAAGGCTCTGATGGAATGCAAAGATTAAAGATTTTTTGGAAATTCCAACTTTAAGGTTACGAAAAGTTCCAAAAGGGTATCATTTAGTATTATGAGAACGGATAGAACTAAAAACTTGAAATTTGGTATGAGATACAAGGTTGGACAGTAAGTTTGATATATGAGGGTGATTTTGGATGGTGGTTGGTGCATGAAAGGTACTAGTGCATGAAAGGTACTATATGTGGTACAATTTGGTATAGTGTGAGCAGATGGTGTTTGTAGTTTTAAATTTAGTCGTTGTTCGTGTGTAGCCTTGACATATGGAGGTGGATTCGGAAATGTGTACTATAATTGTAAGCGAAGTACTCAATGGTGGAAAATGTGGTATTAAGTCTGAAATCCTCAAATTTGATATTGAGGTCTCTGTTGGTATTTAGAATAGAGATATTGAGGTTGTTTCTGAAATGTGTCAAACGCCATAATTTAGACATTTTTTTTTAGATTTTATTGAATCAAAGCAACAAATGTCGATATTGGTCACCTTTGGCTGCCCGAATGTTGCTCTGCGGTATTTTGGCCCAATTCCGGCGAAGCGCTTGTTTGAGGTGATCGACACTTTGGTAATTTTTAGTGGCAATTTTGCGTTCCAAAATACTCCAGACACAATAGTCAGGCATTTACAGTTTAAAATTATATTCGATTTAATATGGCATCCGAATTCTTTTATTTTTAAAGTATTTCTTTATCTGTGATAATGGATATTAAATGTCCTGCCCAGTCAAACTTAGTGTTGTTTGTTACTTGATTATATTTTCGATTATGTGGAAACAAAATGTTGTTATGACTTCCGTCAAGGTCGATGATATGAGCTTACGAATTCATTGGTGTTTAGTTCTGGCTGAACTTTCCATATAGCCAATATAAGTGAACACCCCCTTTTGGAGACTAATCAGGATTCTAAATAATATAAATATTTGTCTAAATAATTTGTTAAGTGAGTATAAGCCTAATACTCATAGAATCTAAATCAAATGCACATCGTGTCAATTGTTAAACACTGTTTCTACATTTGTCTGTTACGGTTTTTTTTTTAATTTTAGGTAAATGCTTAGAAGTTTTGTATCCGCTTTATGGACAATTCATATTTTCATTCTGCCTTCAACAAATTTTGTAAGTATAGACACAGCATATGAACTTTTCCGATTTCATGCATTCACTTATTTCCGTAAGATATGATAGTTTTTATACCCTACAACACTATGTGTTGGGGGTATTTTAAATTTGGTTAGGCCAAATATTATGTAACACCTCGAAATATTGGTTTCCCACATAGGAAAGTATATATGGATCTTCCTATCTCGCTGAGCTGAGTCGATCTAGCTATGAATGTTCGTCGGACCGTCTGTACATGTTAATTTGTAATCTCTCTGAAGGTCGCAATTATGGCCCGAACTTCACGAAATTTAGAATGGAGGTGGGGCTAGAGCCAGAATAGAAGCCTATTGCTTTTGGAGACGATCGCGTAATATTTAGAGGTTTAAATGGACCAAAAACTGAAAAATACTGATTTTCAAGTTCCTCTATAGGTCGTAATTATAGACCAATCAATGTGGAAATTAGCATGGGGCTAGTGCTTAGGGCTGGGCAGAAGCCTTCCAATTTTGATGGTCATCGGGTAATATTTAGTGGGTGAAAAAGACCATTAAACCGCGAATATTTTTTAATCCCGACTAAATCACAAATAGACCAACAGGCCAGTTCTGACCCTTACGTATATTTACTATCGGCATAAATATA